TAACGTTATGTGCTTTCCTGCAATCCTCAAATGTGGTTGCAGTATTGTTGAAAATGAAGTTAACTTATCACAACACATCGAGCTCGATGTACTACCGTTGCGACCACGAACACGCCAAAACGCTTGCGATTTCGCCATGATTAGGGTCTGGGCAGTGCGTCTATATAAATATCAATTCGGAGTCAAGGCGACCATGATATGGTTTCTATAGTTTGGTTTCACAATGTCGATTGCAAGCTGGGCAGATTAATAGCGTAAAACTGTGCTGTGGATGTTGGAGTATACTACACCTTTTTTCGGTTAATTTCAGGACCTCACCATACTTTTTCGCGAAATGAACAAGCAATTCGCGGCGGTTCCACTTCGTTCGTTGTACATTCGATATATTTCGCCTGCAATCAAGTAGGTTGCAGTATATTCAAGCGACGTTCGTTATGTGTCACTGTGTATGCGCTCAATTCAGCGAGTGCTCAATATATTTCGGGGTGCATTCGATATATTTCAATAAAAAATGTAAATCAATCTGACTTTCTACGTAAAATACAATTGTTGGTCGATCAGGCTGCAACTTCCATGTCTTCCATGTTCTCCACGGCCGTAGAAGTATTCGAGCCGCAACGAGCAACGGTGCAGGCGATTCACGTCTACATCTGCATATGTATAAGTTACATTTTCATCGAGATCCATACCTGCAATGAATTCGTCGGCGATGTGCTCATACGAAACTCGTCTCGAGTTTGTCCGTCAGGACGAGGTCCCATACACGCAGCAAGGTGCTCGCGCAGCAACGTCTTGCTGTGGCTCTTCATTGTGGACCAGAGATTCTCGATGGGGTCGGCGGCGTGGCTAGGACACGTCAACTAGGTACATAGGGTATGTATTGGAACGTACTGGTGTGGCAAGCGCTGCGGGCGGGGCTTGTTCCATCGACCGTCGTTTTGAAGAATGAGCGAAAGCCCGCGAGTTGGGTTGAAGTCATTCCTTTCTATTTTCGCTCGAAATATATGGATTGCACCCCGAAATATATTGAGCTACTCGCTGAATTGAGCACATACAGTGAAATATAAGGAACGTCACTTGAAATATACTGCAACCTACTCAGTTGCAGGCGAAATATAACGAATATACCACGAACGAAGTGGAACCGCCGCGAATTGCTTGTTCATTTCGCGAAAAAGTATGGTGAGGTCCTGAAATTAACCGAAAAAAGGTGTAGTATGTACTCTCTGCCAAATTATCAGTACCTGGTACTGTAAACCCATAGTATTTACAGAGCACACTACTAAACTCATACCGACCTGTCATTTCAAGGACATACATACTGGTATATATACTATACTATACTTCACCACATCACGTTACTGAAACAAGTTCCATCAGTCGCATGGCATTTCTATCTCCAAATTGTCGTGGCTGGATGGAGTTTGACCACCTTGTCGTTTTGCGCATTATAGCCAATAGAAATGCTTAGCTTACAGCCTGACGGGCGTCGTGCAAATTCGAGTCAAATTCAAATATCTTGATATTTGTATTTAGGGGTTCATAGTTTCTCGATGGAAACGGAATTTGCCCGACGCTCGTCGTGCACGAAGCCTTATAATCGGATGCCGGTCGTGTAAAAACCGTATTATGGTGTTCGTTTTGCTTTGGTCTTTGCTTCAGCGAGAAGTTAAGGGATATGTAACGCAGCCACTCGTTCAGTCGCACAATGAGCACGGTGGGTCTGAGAGTGTATTCCGACATACGACCCTTCAAACTCCGAGTGAATTTTCACGACTTCTACTGTTTTATCGTCGGCGGCATACTGTATTCCGAGCTATCCTTTGCTACACATTCGCCATAAATTCAGTAGGCAGGCGTCCTTTGAACGCAATAGTGTAGGCACAATACAAAAGCCCGCACAATTTTATAAAAGCTACACAACCTATCTGAAGCAAGCCATTCACAATCTATTGACCACACACACCACGTGGCGCCTTGCAATCGACGCGTGCATCGATGGCCACCTGATGTCGGCAAAGTAGAAGCGTTTGCACGAGTTTCAAAGTTTCGCGGGGGGGTGTTGGGCGATGGAGGGGGGCGGCTGCGTGGGATGTGAACGTGACGGCTTCTTTGTCTTGCGTTTGCAGGTCTTGCGGGGGCGAGTCGTGGTGGGGACCGGGCGGTGGCTGGTCGACGGAGATTTCGTGGTGGGCGCGGGGCTTTTCGAGGTTGTGGACGGTTTCTTGGTGCTTGGAGAAGGGGACGTGGTCGTCATAGGGGGGAACGTGGTGCTTGGAGAGGGGGACATGGTCGTCATAGGGGGGAATGTGGTGCTTGGAGAGGGGGACGTGGTGCTTGGAGAGTGGGGCGTGGTCGTCATAGGGGGGGACGGGTCATCATCTCCACCACTCGAGATTGCGTCGGCAGGCAGGAGGCCGAGAGACTTGAGTTCGTCCACGATCTTGTACATCTTAATGGCACCGTTCATACACCCGCCGCAGTTATGCAATGCCACAACAGAGTTCTCCTTGGCACAGAGCACCGGCGCACCAGAGGATCCGCCATCCGTGTCCAGCGAGTACCCCACTAGGTCACGCTGGCACTTATTTACGCTAAGTTTTTCTATCTTCCCCATGTCTCCGTTGTCCAAGACCGTGGAAATGCATGAGGGTTTGAAGCGGGGGTGGTGAACGACGTAAATCGGGTCGTTCAATGCTGGTTTAGACGCCCGCGCTTGAAGGTACCCGTACTTGGTAAGCGACGCACCGTCCTTGAGTTTGAGCTTCACGAGGGTGTAGTCGAGCGTTTTGTTGGTGCGGAGAAACTCGACACTTGTCGCCACCACTTCGCCCTTGCACCCAAATTGTTGTGAGTTATTCGGGTCGTCGCACGTTGCGCATTCCGCACCAAACTCCACCTGCACGTTGGTCGCGGCCTCCGCATCGACAATGCAGTGGTTGTTGGTGATTAAATGACCTTCCGACCCAAACAACCAGCCTGTGCATAAACCGCTGCCCCCGATGAGCAGCCGTGCTACCGCCTGGGCCTTCTTGTACTTGGGTGAGTCCGAGTCCTTGAGGCAAGGAGCGCCCTTCGTGTTGTCCGTGCTGCATATCGATTCCGTAGTCGCGATATTGCCCGATCCACTGACATATCGATCCACCACAAAAGCTGGGTGGTCACTGGAACTAGTCGTAGCTGGGGGCGTGTATGTGATGACTGCAGATGGTCCGTGGACGTATTCGGCGTAAAAGTTCTTGTGGTGGCCCGTGTAGTTGACTGCTTGGGACCCGTCGGCAGCGCTCACGGTGAGGACCCCCCCCGACGGAATACGGACGTAGGCAAAATGAGGGGCCACGTAAATCGCATTCGGATCCGAAATCGTGCGAGTCAGAGGGGTATTGGCCAGGGATGTGAAGCTAGTGTCAACTGAGTGGTCGGACCCGATGAGGGGTAACGACGACGCTGCCACAGCTGCTGCGGAGACCGCGACGGTGATGACCAATTGAAGAAAACTGAACATACTAGTGATGACGGAAAATGAAAACTGAATGCTGGAACAAACTTGATGGCGCAATATGTGATGCTTAGCTGTCACCGCGGACACATGGTCAAAGGAAGGAGCCTTATGTAAAAGCGCGCGGCTGTCGGAATGGACGCATCGAACTCCATGTGGTGGCATACCGTAAAATGTGAGCATTCACACAAGTCAAGATATCAGTCATAATAATACTGATCCTTACATTCATTGAGACGTTTCGTGCTAAAGTGACTACAGATAGTTGGAATGGATGCAAAGTGCAGTAAACGATCTTGTATTTGATCGAGCATACTTCATGCAGGTTTTTATCATCCTTAAACCAAGCTCGATAATCAAATTCTAAGACCATTCAATTTAACATGGAATTGTCATAATAAAATTGTAAAGTTGGCCACACCAAACAGTGAATCATTGGTTTGCCGAAATTTACTTTTAGACTTGCTCAAAATGTTTACTGCTACTAAGTAGTACGAAGTATGTACTAGTAGTAGCAAATTTGCAGAGCACTGATAAAAAGCATCCATTCATACAGTATAACTATTCATTTATACATAAATTAAATATTGCAGGTCCAACAAACGTCCGATTAAGCTGTAAACTCCCTAAACTAATACATGCAAGTCCTATCCATTAAAAAAGGGTTGAATTGCTGCGGTCAATAGTTTTATCCAATGACATCAATACTATTGGGCTACTTGTACTACTGTAGTACTAGAAGTAACGTTAGATAAACTCACTGTCAGCGAAAATAACCGGCTCATTTTCACACGTAACGTTACCTGTAAAGTAGAGACAAAGCCTTATGTTGGCCCCGAGCGCCCCAGAGGCCATCTGTGCAAGCGCGGTCGTACGAGAGCGCGGATCTAAGCCTCTCACTTCACCGAATGATCGATCTTTTCTTCTTGTCGGGCAGCGGCAGGTAGGTTGTAGGCCGTGCCGCTCCCGGACTAGGCCAGTATGCAATGACCTAGCATTGTCCTAAGTGTAAATTACTCTCATCACTTCTAATTAGGGTATGACCTAATATTCGTGTTGGGATAACGTTTGAATGTTGTTGGTTAATTGAGTTTTTGACTATCATTATTATTAATAACATGTAAGACATTTTGAATGTTGTTGGATGCTGCTGATGACGCATGATACTGCCACGGATATTAGAAATTCACAAGAATATTTCGAGATTAATAACTCCTTCCAGCAACTTCACAGTCAATGCAGTCGCGTCTCAGAGGGCATAGTGGAAAGAAACGAGCTGACGCGCATTTCTGTCTAACGATAAAGTACAAGACGGAGTAATTCAAATATCACGTGATGGCTATACGTATGGGCGCAGTTCCGTGACAACTTGGTTCCGTGCCACTGATTGGGTAAAAAACAATCACTCCGAAATTTTCAGCCAATCACCTGCTATTTTTGACAGGTAACTGGATAAAATCAAGTAGCTGGAACTGTTTTCAGCCTATGGATATTTCACTCTTTTAATTCATTTTTCATCAACGCTAATACGAATTTCGACATGATTTTAAGTCCTACGAACTGCATTAATTCTCCTCTTTAAGAAACACTATTATAATAGCGATTTGGAGTAAAGGAACCCCTCCATCGAAGAGTCCCAAAAAGTGTCACGGAACCATCTGGATATCAGTCAGCAACGACCCGCCTATGCACCACCGAAACCGCATGTATTTGCCGCCCCAGGTGACCGTTTCAAAATCGAGCCAATGAGCAACCACGGCAATATCCGCGATCTCCATCCGTACAACCGATGGATAATACCCAAGGGGCCTCGGCTCACATAGTTGACTATGAACGTCAACAAGCCCCTCGACGACATTTTTCTTCATCACAAGCCGATGAAAGTCCTTCCCGTGTTCTTGCTGGCGGTTGCCGCTGTTGCTGTGGCCTTGCCACACCGTCAGTGGGCGAGCTCACCCAGCCTTGCTATCGAAAAAGGGGCGACCTACGGTACTGACCAGCCCTTTCCACGGTGACAAGAAAGGCGAATGCCCCACAGTTGGCACAGCTGTCGAAACGTGCTGTGATGCATCTCGTCTTTACATATCCTAAGGGTATTCCTTGAGGAAAGTCTATTTATTAATATATCCAATCATATCAATTCTGAAATTCTAATGGCTAATGAAGCTTGGCAAAGCACTAATTGTTCACATTAGAATTTCTTTCGAACGGGTCATTCATGGACGTTGCGTGCTCATCGTAGACTCTAATGGTCAACAAAGTCCGGTGGAAGCGCAGTCGAAATCGCTTCTCCAGAGGTCAACTGAAGCTGGCGGCGGAGAAATCCAAAATCTACACAATGTAGCGTGTTGCTGTGTAATGTCATTTGGTAACTGTAAATATACATGTCAACTTCGCTCGTCTATGCCTACTTTCACTCCATATTACGTTGAAAGGACTGATTTGCGACATTTTTAATTGTCAGCATATGACAAAAAAAGGAAAAAGAAGCGCCAGACCGGGTTCGAACCAGTGACCCTCAGAGCTGCAATCTGACGCTCTACCACTGAGCTACTCGCGCTTCGTTATTGTACACAATTGTATGACTTTTATAATTGAAATTTGTGACAACCCACCGACTTCACAGTCGAAAGTGAAATGCGCGGGCCAGTTCGTACCGGTCCTAACATCTATTTGAGCCCACAATGATATTGTGAGTACGACTGATGCCAGCCACGCGAAGCGATGCTTATGTAGGTACAGTAAAACTGTGTCGAAATAGAAACAGTAAGCTTAACCACTTTTTCAATTCATGTGTACCACTTACTCCTGGAAAATGCACAATATTTTCGAGCAAGCGATGGATTATTTCCGAGCGAGGCCTCAGATGGAGCATTTTTGAGCAGCTTTGGATCATAGGGATAATTCCGGTTAATACTAGTAGGGCATACATGTACCAAATCAAGTCAGGTTGAAGAATTTTCGAGCATTACTATTATCCATATGTTTCTAAATTACCCTTTCCAACACTTTTCTACTAAGCAGCACCAGTACTGTAGCTCTGTAACTTCGGAACCCCGATACCCATAGCCCTGAAACCCATTAATCCCTAAATCGCGATGGATACATTTAATGCTCATTCTCGGGGGTTATGAACATCGCCGTTGGTTAGCTACTGTATCGCTAACCCCCGCCAATGAGCCTAACCCCTAGTACCGTGAACGAGAGGTTACTACCGGTACATACTTCGAAGTAAGTATTTTCACTATCATATGTCGAATTTTTCTCGGAATTTATCGCAAGGAAAACACTTTGTTTATGTTCCTATTAAGTTCGCTCGGAAAATGCCGCAGTGGCCCAATTTTGCTCGAAAATTCCTCCATTCTGAGGCCTCGCTGGGAAATAATCCATCGCTTGATCGAAAATAATCTTTTCCCAACTCGCAGGGGCACTCGGTACGACCAAAATTCCGCTTCCGGCCCTTCCCACACTTATTGACTCTGCCCACGCGCTCAACTCCTCTTGCTTGTTCTCTGTGTGGGGTTTGGCCCGACGGACTACTTCGACTCCCTCATAGTAACTACCAACAGCCAGGTAAAACATACACTCCCCCAATGAGGGACAAGATTTTATTTTGCACGACGCTTCTTGCTGCCTACAAAACACTGGAATGGCTTCTGTGCGACCTACCAAAATACACTGCATCTCCTCCTGCCTTTGACCGACATTCACACCCACGGTAGTTTTGTACTTTAAGCTAACCGATACTAGTATTCATTCGTAATTCACTGTCGAAGAAGATTCAATCGTATTTACGAGTAACGTAAAAGTCCAATTTGAGAACACTTTTTCTGAAACGCTGCCGTGGAAGATATGTAACTCGACTCTTAAGGTATTGACTCGGATTATAATTCTACAAACGTAAACGGCCAATTGTTGCCCTCATTTCGACCCCTTAGCTTTTTGGCCTTATCTCATAGACTAAGCAAAATTACAAAAATCTGAAGTTATCCAGTTGTAGAGGAAAGAACGCTCTATCCAGTCGTTCAAATTGCTCGTAATTTGGAGTGTTTTTAACGTAGTTATGCCGAAGCAAACACAAAAGTTTTGAAATATGCCGGACCAGTTGTTTGCCCTCTTTAAACTTGACTTCAGTATGGGTTTGAAGGGTGACGAGAGGGTTGGACAATATTTTTAATATGAGCTCAAAACAATTGCCAAAGCTAATATACACCTAACCGCACCTACTTTGATAATATCTTACAGGTAATTATATTACGGAGAAACCATTGACCAATAGCAAAAAAGTTCGC